GACATTTTTGTATCCTTATTACTAGAAAGTTAATAAGTCATTGCATTCAAGAGAATAACTTTAAATTATTTGAAATTGGCATTGTTAGAGTGTTTTCTATTTTATCTTTTGCTACTTTCTCCATTTTTCAGCGTTGACAGCATTTATATTAATTGTGTATCCGAAAATACCGAGCGTGACATATTAACCGTCATTACAAACAAGTTTCGCAATTCAAAGAAAAAATTGCACACTACCATAACATTTTCAGATGTGAAAAAAGAAGCTGCGAAATTGAACAAGAACATGTTAGTGTACATTGACCTTGTTGTTCTTATGTATCTCATACTGTAGTATTTGGAAGCACTTTTTAAATATATGACTTTAATGATATAGATCATGTATTACTAAATTTTGTGTGCTTATATCAACTTTCAGAATCATTGTGCTCGATGAGATAGATTATTTAAGACCATGCGATCGTAATTTTCTCTGCTCAGTATTCGATTGGCCGGTATTTTGTACCCGAATTTCAGTAATCGGTAACTAAACTATTATTACAGCTCTTTTGTGTTGTGGACAAAAATTTATGTATTATTCGTCCATGCCTTTTCCCTTTTTTCTTTCTTTTGAAACTTTGTGTAGTTTCGAAATCTCCAAATATGGTACTTCCTTCTTGTTTTAGTTCATGATTCATGATTTTTCAGAAATTTGAGTTCATAATTTTTCCACATTTCTCATAACTCTTTTAACGAACCATATTTTAGGTATCGCCAATGCTCTGAATATGGATGAGTTGCAAAGGCATCAATTAAAACATTCACCGAAGCAGATTATTTTTGCTCCCTATAGTAAAGATCAGTTGCAGTTCATATTGTCAAAAAAATTAGTAAGTATACAAATATAGAAGCAAGTGCGTACACTTTATTCATTTCAGATGTATCGTTCAGTTTCTGTTGCTTAAGAAATAGGTTAATAATGATAAGTGTGTTTTCGTACCAATTCTTCTGTATTAAATCAGATATAAAATTAAAAATTTCATTATCGTAAAAACAGCTATTCATAAGGATACTTCCGATTTTTCATCATTCATTGGCGAAGCTGTGTGGTGGTTTTATGTTGTGAAAGGTAACAAAAAAATGCCAAAATTTAGTTCGGAAACTATTTATTGCACTTTCAAAATATTGTTTGCAGGCGACTAACATTAATAATACAAATGCTATTGAACTTTGTGCTCGAAAAGTAGCTGCAATGACGGGGGATGCACGAAAAGCAATGCAAATAGCGCGCTGGTCAGTGTTTGTTTTTCTTTTCAGTCTTTATTTTTTCATTTCAATAAGTTAATCCGTAAGATTACATGTAATACGTGCATCTTAATTATCTAGTAATTGTTGCAGTTCCATTGGCAACTCAGATAATGTATCTTGTCGTGATGTTCTTGGAACTATTAACAGTATCTACAGTTCTCCTCTGCATCAGGTGAAAATGCCACTGCAACAGAAAATACTTTTGGCGACAATGCTTCGTATCGTTGGTGACAAGGCCTCTACTGTTGTCAATAAAGGTTTGTGTCACTTATTTTTGTCTCCTACTGGTTCATTACGTTAGACATTTACTTCACTATGTCACGACTACGTATATAACATTTGGATGTTAGTGCATAATTAAAAAGGAAGTAGTAGAAAGTCATTTTACTTGTTCCGCGAGTAATTTTGGATTGATAAGCTGATA